AGCAGAGTCGTGGTAGAAAGTTCAGAGATGGTATTAAAGTAGCTCAGTTTAAATGTATTGTGTGAATTGCCCTTACTCTGGAATAAAAAATACGGGGTGTATTTTTACATTTAGTTAAAAGTGGCTGTAGGACATCAGCTCCAGTGGCACAGATGGATAAGCGCTTGCTATTGGCTTTTTGACGCGATTGACCCGGGTTCGATGCCGCCTTTTGCCAAACTTGTTTTTCCTCCCTGTTTTCTGAATTGTTATTTTGTTTTTTTAGACTTGCATTTGCGTTTGTAATTTGTTCTTTTGTTTTCAGAATTGTGATTTGTTCTGCACTTCTCGGCCACTGTAGATAGTTCACCCAAAAATGAAAAATTTTATATTTATCTGCTTACCCCCAGGGCATCCAAGATTTAGGTGACTTTGTTTCTTCAGTAGAACACAAACGGAGATTTTTAAGTCCAGCCGTTGCAGTCTATCAGTCGTATAATGTATGGCAATGGTAACAAAATCTATGAGAGTAAAAAAAACATGCACAGACAAATCCAAATTAACCCCTGAGGCTCGTGACGACACATTAATGTCTTAAGACACAAAACAATTGGTTTGTGCGAGAAACCGAACAGTATTTATATAATATTTTACTATTTTACACCACTATGTCCAACTGCTTTAGCGCGTGCACGGCATCCGGTGAGTGAGGTGTGTCCGCACTTCAGCAAAGAACTAATTAAAAAGTTGTAGTGACTAATGCAAGGTCTTTTCAGAAGGATGAAGACTGACCATAATTGTGTTCCAATACAGTTTAAACTGAAATTGATGTCATTGGCTATAAAAATTCAGCCTGAAACATAATTTGATCAGCTCAGTTAAGTTGACAAAAGAGAAAAGATTGAAGTTATGATGATGAAAAAATATGACGATATGATGAAAAAAGTATTTTGGACTTTGAAAATCTAAATGAAACTGTAAGGAGTAAAATGTTTGCCTTGTACAATTATTCTGTTTCAATAGTACTCACGTAAAGTAAAAAACAAACCAAAATTATAGTTATTACAAAATTACAGTATAGTACTATTAATTATGTTCGCCGCAGAGTTACAGTGGAATGTACCTGAATTATCAGCACATTACTATTTTTCACTTGTTTATATAATCTAAGATCCTTGGAATTTAAACATTCTGTATTCAAAATAAATCAAAATATAAAAACAAACAACTTTGCTTTCATATATATACTTCATATTTACTTTCAATAATTATATTTCTACTAAATATTAGGAAGAGCAAATGTTTTTAACCAGTATTTATAAACAGTAAGTGTTAACTCAGCACAGGTAATAATACAAAAATTGTTACATTGCTGACATTTTTTTAATAGATAAAACAAGATTATAAACATTAAAAAATGAATATTCCTTCATTGTTAAAATTCTTACAACCTCTCCCATTCATCATGCCATTTTGTATATTTTTACCCCAGACAATGATTCATATAATTTTGAAGAAAAAAATAAACACAAAGTTACTAATTTCCACATTCTGAAATTTAAAATGGATTTGAACAGCGTTTTTGATTCATGAGTAAAATAAAGTCTGTGGTTAGCATTAGTCATGTTTTCCAAGCTGCTTTCAGTCCCCAGATTCAAATCTCACGGTGGCAGTTCTCAGCTAAAAACTCACCTTTTTTTCTCCATTCCTGGTTTTGGGGAGCTGTTGTTATTTACAGTTCCATTAACTGTTTATTATTCTATCTTTACATACATACATGCATAAAATAAACAAAAAAAGACCTTATACATGTACAGAAACTCACAAGGTGAATCAGTTTTAATGAATAGTTTAAGGAAATAGTTTAGGGAGGTGTTCATTTGCATCACTTGCATGAGCTCAAAATAATTCTTCTTGTCTGCAAAGAAATTTTAGTTTTTGCGTGTCTTTGATCCAGAGGTCCAATGAAGTTTAACTGTTGACTTGAGTATAGAACTGAATGTTGTAGATCTATGAACAGATTTAACAATCATATTTCTGATTTACACAAACACTCACAGAATTACACTTCATGTACCTGTAGCGTCTGGACCAATCAAACACACAATATATATTTTGTTAGCTATATTTAACAAATACTCTGTAACACCCCTCAGTTAACAAGCCATATGAGGACCTATGGACCCTTCCCCCGAAATGCGTAACAACTCAGGAGGGTAGAACAGGCCTCTGGTTCCATGGCAACCAACGCTGATATCACTGGGTTTATTGCCCAAAGGAATGCGAAGTAGAGAAAATCACTACCTTTTCCATAGGGAGAGACACAATGCCCGGTAGAAATGGACTCTTCTCTAATTAATTCATAGAAAAACCTTTCTGTGAATGAACACACATATCCTTCAGATCATTGTGTATGTTCTCTTTGATATTTTATAATGTTTTATGCAGGCTTATGATGGAACCACTCGTTCCTGCCATCTTGCCTATATGTAATCCTACCATGTTTAGTATCTATGAATTCGCCTTCTGATGATCTAAATGAGCGTGTATATTATATGTTGGTACATAGGCAATATATTAGTGTCCTGAGAATCTTTAGTAATTTCGATTTAAGTTCCATTTGCAAATTACCATGCCCTCACACAAAGGGTCATAAAAGCTCCCCAGTATCTCAAAACTCCCACTTGGGATTCCGGCCTTTCTCATTGGACAAGCCCATCTTGAGAGGCGTGAATCTTCTCAGACCTTAAAGGCCTCACATCGGTGCCCCGCCCCTAGTCGGTGGTTTGGTTGAATTCTGAGAAGATGAAGATGTGAGCAAATGCTCCAGGACATCCTAAGTACGTGCCAGGCTACGGCCTTGACTTTTCCATTCACCAAGATTCTCTGACTCAAACTGGTTCTTTTTCATCATTGTTTGCTCATAACTGGAGTCACTTAATCATGCAGATTTATGCTACAAGCTCTGTGTAGAATTGTACAGTAAGAAAGTTATTTCCCTTAACCAGGAAATTAACGTTCTTAGAATTGACAGACAGTTGACCCTGAGAGGTCAAGTAAATATCTACAGCGGATCTAAATGTTTATAATTAATTATAACTAGTTATGATTAATTATTCATATTTCCCCATGAGCTGATTCGCTACATACCTCATGGTCTTATACATGAACCTTCATTGCTCCATGCTACAGTACATGTTAAACTTCTTACAAATAACTCCAAAGGCTGAATGATTCAAATGTAAACAGTATTTATGTTTATTAAGTTGATAAATATAGCAAAACAAACACACAAAGGCAACTCTCTGAATGAAGTCACAGTCTTTAAGGAGATGTGCTATACATACATTCCTATATATAGTAGTCAACAAGGATGAGAACATTTTCATGTGTTTAGACAGGAAACATAATTGAATGTGGAAGATGTCTGAATAAATCAATTACTAGCACATTTTCAAGATCTCCAGATTTCACACAGGCAAAAAATATGCAGCCACAAGTAGGCTGCACATATACAAATGTTTCACAAGTACACACAAGCTAACTTGCTGTTTTCTGTCCTTACATAAAAGCTGACATTATTTTTTAAGAGTGGTACTGATATTTCAATGCAGTTTATCACAACACCAATGGATTCATGCTTGAAATTGAATTATGTTTGGAAAAGAAGCTGAATAGGTGCACCTGGTTTGTGTATGCTTGTTTGCATGTTGTAGTTCCATGGGGCCTTATTTGCATGATGATCTGAAAGCTGAGTATATGGTCCAAGCTATAAAAGTATACTATAAGTATAGTATACTATATACTATACTATAGTATGTATGTATAATATATATGTATACTATGTATACTATATTATAAGTAAGTGCTCTTCATGACTGTGATCATTAGATCTAAATAGATTTATCTAAATAGATCTATTTGTGTACTAAAGTCCAGTAAAAACAAAATGTTTTTCAAAAAGTGAAATATCTTTAAAGGGGTCATGAGCTGCATGTTTTAATTATTTTATAATGTTCCCTGAGGTTCACTATAGTGTGTTTAAAAAAAACACACAATCATTCTTATATGCTGATTTATCAATGTTAGAAACAGTTGTGCTGCTTAATGTTTAATTTATAACCTGTGATACTTTTCAGGATGGATTCTTTTGATTATTAAAAAGTTGTTTAAAAAATGTGCAAAAAAATAAAACCTTTTATAACAATATAAGTCTATCACTTTTTATCAATTTAACACATCCTTGTTGAATATTAAATTTTTTCTGTATTTTTTATCAAATAAATGCAGGCTTGATAAGCATAGAAGACTTCTTTCAAAAACATTAAAAGCAGTTATTGGTCCAAACTTTTGGCGGGTACTACAGTATATAGCCTACATATTAATCAAAGAGGTAGTCTCTTTTTTGTTTGTTGAGAATGTTATTATAGCTGTGATATTATTTTGCTGCAGTAATTTGTTCAGTGATTTATTCATAGTTCCTGAATACCACTTCAGTGAATAAACATAGCCCAAGTGCTTTTATAATTTTTTCGCCCTCCCATTTAATCAATATTGACTACAGATATTGTCATGTTAACAATATGATATTATGTATTGCATTGTTACCTTAAATATGCACTATACACAAATCAAGTGGAAGTGAAAGAGACAATCACTACTGAGCTGAAAATAAGTTAATTTTAATTAAACTTGTGTTTCATTAAAATGCTAATGCTGTGTTATGTTAGAGCAGTAATGGGTAGACCGGGTACAGCTGGTACACTTTTTGCTTTTTCGTTACCACACCAAAACTAGGTGTGGCAAGAACTCAAACCATCTGTGCTGTTCACGGATCCAACTGATTGCAGAATGCCCTCCAGACCGGAAACGTGAATTGGGTACCTCGGTCACTGACTATGTCCTCTGGTAGTCCATATATCCTAAAGAGGTGTTGGAAGAGGGTATGAGCGGTTTCCATGGCAGTGGGTAGTGGAATGAGACGGCAGGACTTCGAGAAACGGTCAATGATAACCAGTATAGTAGTGTTATGATTGGATGGTGGGAGGTCAGTGATGAAGTCGATAGACAGATGATACCATGGTCGTTGAGGAATCGGTAATGGCTTGAGTAGACCTGAAGGTAATTCCTTTGGGGTTTTTGACTGAGCACAGATCTGACAGGACTTGACATAGTTGGTTATGTCTCGTGCCATGTTACTCCACCAGAAAGAGTTCTGTACTAGTTGGAGAGTTCGAGAGATACCAGGATGAC